GTTGGTTGACATCATACCTAAAGGAGCGTTACCAGATAGTCACTCTGGGTAATCATAACTCCTGACCACGTCCAATCACTAGTGGTGTCATCCAAAGGAGTGTACTTGGTCTTCGCTTTTCATACCTTATATTAACGGTACCACGGGGTTCATAAAACATGGTAGGCCATTTTACTTCGCCAATGACATAAAGATTGTTTATAAAATTCGACGGGACGAAGTCAATAGCACAATGCAGTTCGTTCAAGAAGACCTGGATTCACATGAGAAATGGTGCAACACATGGATGCTAAATTTCTCAGCTAGTAAATCATGTTTTATATCCTACGGCTGTTTAATCCATGAAGAATCTGTTAATCTGAACAATGAACGTATCTGTGTGAAACTATCCAACTGTGATCTAGACATATGTTACTCTCCAACCATTAATTGTTCCGATCAAGCTGAGTATCTAATAGCACGTGCCAAACGATCTGTGGTTAACATATGCCATAAAATCTATACAACCCTTGTCAGACTCGTGCTTTTCAAAATACTTACACTTCCTGTCCTTGAATCATACAGCGTCATCTATGAGAACATGCGAATGGGTGACATGAAAGCTTTGAAAAACCTGCAAACATCATTCACTAAGCTCTTGTTTAGTAAATCAAGCACCTTGAGTTATCAGGAGCGCTGTCAGCAGCTTAAGCTCGAGTCCCTTTGGTTGCGACCACTGAAACATAACCTGGTGCTGACTCATAATCTCATAAACTAAAAGACAAACTCCAGTCTGTGTAAATTTAAAATTCAAAATAACTACTCGAAATAAACGCAGTAAGACCTGTACATTGTGTGTGCCGAGAACCAGGACAGCTATCCGATCCAACTTCTTCCTCGTCAGATACACTGTCGTGTGGAATAGTCTGCCAACTACAATCAGATCTTGCGTAAATGCAAGAGCATTCCACATTCAGCTTAGCAAATTACTTGACCATAAATCGATAATGACCATGTTTCCATCGGGTAAATCACCACACGAATTCTTTCAGGATGGACCAAGGAATATATAATCAATGATTAAAGATGGTACAAAGAACTCAACAACGACATAAGTTACGTGATTCCAAATTATTATTATATCATACACCCATGTTACATATTTCCCTCATGCATGAGCATGTTAATTATTGTACGCATGATCTGTCCACAATCCAGGGACAGATTCTCGTACGATCGGGAAATAGAAGTATTATTATTATTATTGTTATTATCAGTTGAGCTATACTGGTCGGCGCTTTTTTGCACCTACAGAGCCAATCATACCAGAATAGTCAATGGCCAAGCAAAGCCTCCTGGCCCTCCAGGTTAGGGGCTGGAATGAGGGTGGTTCCTTATTCCCTAAAATGGACTCCTAGTAGCCCAACATCAACCCCGCTGCTTTGCGGTCAGGTTTTTCAATCAAAGGCTTTGGTTGAGAACCCTAATCGTTCTCCTGCTAAATACACTCGCACTGACGATGTCACCTCGAGTGGTGACGAAACGTTTGCAGTCAACCTGCCGAGCTCAGCGAACAATCAGCCAATCAATCTCCTGTCTATTCCTGGGAAACCTGACAGTATTCCACCCACACAATACAATGAATCTTTCCTCTAACAATTTCTTGATGCTATGGCCACCGCAGAGGATAATCAACGGGACCCTATCTGCTGCATCGAGCAGGGTGGATAGTGGTTTGGATGCTATTGCGCAAGCCTTACCGTATCCCTATTCCCCCTGTTGCGCTTTTGCCCCCTCATTGTCCCGTTCCAACTTCATTTTTATCCCTCTCTTTTTCACTCCTCCAATTTTTGGCCTTCCCCACTATGCTTTGTTAGGCGTTTCTCTTCTAATTTCAAGTCATAGCCAAACTCTGAGCATCACACTTGTCATGTCGACAACCCCAAGTCTAAGCAAGCGGTCCAGCCCCAGTTCAGTGGTTTCCATTTCGAGCCCCCGATTCTCTCTCATATTGGCTTGCTTCAACGTACGCACGTTGTTACAACTCGGTCAACAGGCAGTACTTTCCCGAACATTAGCAATTCGCTTGATCGATTTCTGCCGCCTATCAGAAACCGTCTACAAGACATGAGCTCTGTTCTCACTCGATCTCCTTCAGGTGACACTAGCAGCACTTTCTCGTTGCGCTTATCCGGAGACGATACAGCTTCGAGTACCGACCAAGCCAGTGTTGGTATTACCCTGAGTCCCCGGGTTGAAACTGCTCTAGTTGATTGGATCCCAAGCAGTAGCCAGATGTGTGCGGTATGACTGGCTGACTCGTCCACAGCTTCGAAGTAGTGCGGAAACAACAGGTATCTATTTGACAGCGCTGCCTACGCCCCCACAAACTGTAGCGATGACTCAGCAAAAGACGACTTCTCTCGTCAACTGAACCAGCGCGTTCGCCGCAGAAGAAGGTCAGACACTGTAATGCTGGCTGAGGATCTGAAGGCTCAAGTTGGAAAGTTGCCTACTGATGAGCTGCATCTGGACGTAGGACATGGTGTAGGCTCCCGTAATGATAACGGTGAGCTGTTAGTTCATTTGTGTGAAGATATCTGCTTATTTCTTGCGAGCACTAATTCCCGACACAGCACCTCTCGGGAGGGTGACTTGGCACCCACCAGTCTCGAAGCAGCTGTGAACGCAAGTCGATCACATTGCGATCAGTTAACGCTATAGAGACTGCGTAAAGAACTTCCGCTCGATTTGGAGCACATGTGTGGACACCGAGCATGCACTTGTATGTGCTGAATTGCTGATAAGTTTTGGCAGACGCCCACGACAACGTTGTGAGAGCATTGATACCAGCCAAGTGACGAAGCCTGCTGTCCTAAATGCCTATCAAAGTACGCTGACAGGCGAAGCAAGTAAGCGCTCATTGGATGTAATTGAAACTTACTGGTCTCATGTTCATCAGACCTTAGTAGCAGCAGACAAATCCTCATGTAGTAAGTCTAATCGTCAACATGGACATTGGGTCTCTTCGCAGTCTCGGGAAATTCTCCATGCTGCTCGGCACATTCCGGCTGCAAGCGCACACAATGAGACTGGTAGAAAACTCCGAGCAAAACTCCGTGCTAGCTTGAAGAGCCCGTACATCCTGGTGTTCTCATCGTGCGTCAGTGATGGAAATGTTCGATACACTTAGTAACCATCGTAAGTTATTCCATCTGATACGAGGAATGGGAAGCAGGAGATTTGATGTCAGCAAAATAATTTATGACGGGAGTGGACAGCCTATGAGAACTTGTCGAAACGTTTGCATTGTTGAGCTAAGTATTTTGAAGGGCGATTTAATCGGTCGGGGTTTTTAGGTTCCTCACCGGTGAGTGATCACCCTGCTCCCTGGCCTGTCGCTTTCCGTCCTCTCGCTCAGAAGTTGAACGTGAGAGCGGACTGTTGATGTTGAATAAAACTACCGGACCAGATGATGCTCATCCAGTCCTCTTCAAATTTAGGAACTTTGCTCTCTTTGATGATTTACATGTGTGTCTAGTGAAACTGTGGGAGCAGGAAATTGTCTCATCCAAATGGAGCCGCTCCGTTACTGTCCCGATCTTCAAAGGACGCTAGCGTTCAGAATGCGGTTGGAGCCTCTGTGCTCCCTGGTTGAGGATCGACGAATGCTAAACACGTCTGGATGGATACACTGATTGACGTAGCTAGCAGTCGACCTCAATGGCGTTTGTGTCGTGAGTTTCTTTGTCCCTCCCCGTCCAGCTTAACCTACTCCTCCAACCAGGATCTCATTTGGTAGGCATAATATAACTACTTTTTTGGCACAATAGCCAGGTGTTAGCTCTCTGGAACGATATTTGTCCGTTACCGATGACTCAGCCGGCGTGTCTGTCTCTGTGTTTTCTTTTCGTTTGTATTTTGGCAAAATAGCAGAGGTGTTTACCGACTGCATCTAACGTGTATACTAATGATACCGATCCGTATCGCTAGTCCTGGTTTCATAGTGATAGATCCATTCAAGGATATCGGTGCTGATGTTATCCTTCGGTGAATGCGTAATTTTCTTTGAGTACTACATTTCTGCCTAAGGATCGGTAACGCAAATGAGTAGCAACAAAACCTGCTAAATACACCGGTTACGGCCTCTTGTGCGTTCGTTCTTATGCATCTGTCAAGTAGGCCTACCTTGCAATTTTGCCTCCTAGTTTAGTCTTAAATGCAACGTTTTGTTTCTTGCTGCCAATATTATTGTTGTGATACGAGGCGAGTGAAGTACTAAACCAATGGGTAATAGGGTCAGAAAACCAAACACGGACAACCCCCGTAAACACAAAGGGTAAAAGCGAAAGATAAATGTGTTGAAAAGAGTAGCGCTTGCCTGTGGACTCGTCGTAAGGTGCACATGTGCACACCGTTTGCAGTATGTGGTCTCCCAACAACAGGTTAACTAGTGTGCAGCATCACAGTTTCAAATGGCTATTCCGATTCGGATAACGAGGCAGCCGAACGTTTAGAAGTCGGTAGAGCGTTCAATTACTGGAACACACGAAGGGAATAAACTTTCCAGCCAAAATAGTTCACGGCTTGCTCTGTCTCCTTTACCAGCTGAATACGTGGAACTATTCCGACATATAATTGCGAGTCTGTTCACCTATTCGTAAGTTAGACGTTTCCATTTTGCTTTATAATTAATAATGTTGGATCACGGCTACTTCAGTACAACTGTTTCGGTGGAAAATTCTTATAGCCCAGAGCGTATGTTTACAAGCGTTTTGTTAGCTCACCGTTAGACAGCTATCTACGCAGTAACATGAGCAATTAAAGAGGAATTGAAAGAGGTGTGCGAAGCAGTTTACTCCTCAGTGCTGCTCATGAGATCCGACCAATAAGGAAGCTACATCATGAGACGCACATGCGTCGCGTATTTTTCACCATCTTATTTTCTTTATACGTACTGGATTTCACTGTACAGTACTTTGACACAAACTATTGCCATACGATTCCAGTGCACTGCATTCTCAGGGGGTTGGTGGTTCATCGAGAGAAGTCGCTTCGCTGGGGACCTGTACGAGTTTGAAAGGTGCATGGTAGCGATGAATGAAACGTGCTTTACCCATTGTGTTCTGCAGACCATTGTTGATGCGTCATTCACTGCGGCCTAGCGATCCGAATCGTTTAGGGAGAGAAAAAACTTTCAAGGATTCCATTTCCTGACTAAACTGTACCGTTCGTGGACGCCATCACTTGTTACACCGAGAAAATAAAGGTATATGTATCTAAAGTCTTGCTAGTTTCTTCGCAGCTGAATCAAATCAGTTAGTCCTCTCCATAACCTAAGAAGCACTAGACGACCGTTTTTCTGTGGCATATGGAGGACAGTCTGATTTGAAAGCTACTGCGAACACTCCCGAACGATTTATATTAAAGATCGCCTTTTCATGAGTATATTAACTAATTAGTTATACATAACAGGGCATGGAGAATTCCTACTTATGGCAAACACCTATTAGACTCGGGTCATCCGCTAGAGCTGGGCTCAAGGTTTAAACTTCTGTTACGTCACACTAATCCCCGCTTCCTTCGGTTTGCTGAGGCTGTCGTTATAAGCCAGATGAAGTCAGTCTTGTGTGTGCAGAAAAAATTATCTGTCAGCCTAAAGCTGCCTTGGACGTAAGTGTGAACTTTTGTCGTTCGTTCTGCACCTCAAGCTTGTCTGCTTGTACTGTTAGCCATATCTATGCAAACGGTTATTGTTAATGGTACTGAGGAGACAATACGAAATGCATGCATCTACCAGCCTTCGTATATTCTTTCCGTGCTTTTCAAATTGTTGAAGGGAAGTAACTGCTTTAAAATGCATTAAATAACGAAACCGCAGTCGCGCCGGGTGAAATCAAATGTGGCTGTCCAACTAAGTGCGCTTAAAGTTTTATACTATAACTTGTCCAACTCATCCGATGACTGCACATGTAAAGTCGAAACTGTAAGACAGCGTAGTCCTCATAGGCGGTGAGAAATAACTGATATTTTCAATGCTACTGCTTTTGTTATTAGTAGAGCAAAACTAATACGCTTTTAAAGGTCCACATGTCTACGCGCTTGCAGTCGTCACGTGTTTGTGTGACCAGAAGCTTCATCCTTGGGATACTCTTCCATACCAATCGCATTTGAGGCAATTAAAAATTTTAGGCCAGAATTTATTTAGTTATAGTGGATGGTATCCTCATTTGATTTTGTTCTGGCATGACCTCGATTTAAGGGGATTCATTACGTACTAAACAATTCCCGTGGCGTTTGTTCAACAACTGAATGAAGCGTTATTTAAAATGTCATATGAACGGGAAACACGGTAAGTGTCGCAAGATAGTGTTTAGTTGATCATACTTTTTTAGGTGAAATCTAACTTGAGCCATTTGAACCGACTAATACACTAAGGACACTGTTTGGGTTTTCATCCCAGTCATCATCATACACGTTAGTCAGAGGTGGGGAACACCTCAGCTACTGTGCCGCAATACACAGAAAAAGGGAGAAAAAACCAACTGGGGCAAGCCGGCTGAGCTACCAGTAACGGATGGCATCGT